AACGGTCATATATTTCATGGAGAAGCCCATCCACAATAGAACCTTGGCGCTGGACATGTGCCCTGGAAAGCTGATCATTGGACAGCAATGGATCGCAGCAAATGTCATAAGGCAAGTCATCATTTGATGCTGTAACATTATTGTAAGCATTCTTTGTATGCATAAGACTATTGGCAAAATAGTTTTCATCAGTATCAGGGTTTCCATAAGTAGTTGTATTTTCCAAGTGCACCAAGCCAGAAGATTTAGGTTGAGGTAAGAAAAGATCATCATCATCAGAAGCTGTTCCTTGCATCTTAGACATCAATCAGCATCTTTATTTATAATTTTCCATTTTAAATCACATGACAATGACTGAGATTTGAAATAATTTTAAACACAAATTTTTTAATTGTGAAATAAGACAAGGATGACTGAAGGATATTATGAAGGAAAATATTTGTTAAAATTTATTTCAGAAGATTACTTATTTTTTGCCAAATAATGCACAAAAAAAAAAATGTTTGTAGTCCAGTTGAGAATTCACAAACTTCCACTTCCATTCTCTGATTCTGGGTGGTAAATTTTTTAAGTAAGTAAGGGGTAACAGTAACAAAACAGAATAATGTTAATTTAATTACATTTTAAAAATTCAAATTCATTTATATGAACTCATAAGTTTACTTACTAATGATATTTGATTTTTATTTATAGAACACATGTTTGGTTGTTTCTGTCGACACAGATTATTTTTAAGATGATTTGTCGAGTTAGCGGCACTAGCTGATACACCCACTATACTATATTCATAATAACAACCAATACACTAGCAAACTTTTTAAAGTTATCTCCAATCAACTGATTTAAGCTGATTTAACTTAATTTTGCTTCGTCTTAACTTAAGGAACAATACTGAAATAGTCTATAATTCTACTCTGATAAAAAGGATGGACAAACTAACTTTAGAAAGTTTAGTTTGCATCCAAAATTCGTTTTTAACTTTTATTAACAAACTTGATAATAAAATAACTAAATGGCGCAACGTGTTTAGTATTGCAGGGTTGCCAAAAGCATTTCTTTAGAAATTATTTAAAGACAATTTCCCACACTTGACTTGTGTAGCATTTTAAAATATAATGTAATAAAATGTACCATCAGCACAACTATCATATTTCGCATGCATCAAACTAAAACACCATAGTCATAGGGCCTACTTCTAGCAGTCGGTGAACTGTTGACGTTGCTAGCTTTTTTATTTTCAAAGTGATGTCCCTTTCCTACATCTTATGAAAATCGAAATTTAATTTATTTTAAAATAGGCTCATTTTGTGAATACTGTAAAAATAATCAATTTATATTTTTAAATATAATTTCAATTGTTTAAGTAAATATAATTGTAACAATTATCTCAGAGCAGTATTTTCGTATTATTATTATTCTATATAAATTATAGACGCTAAGAATCAAGAAGGCCTATCATGTAGCCTATTCCCTTTGGCAGGCTTTACTTCAGTAGACCATCCCCACCCCTAACACTTTTCGGTTTTGTACCCTCTGTATTCAAAGCAGTAAGTAGATATAATTTTGTCCTCATCATAACTGTGAAAATTAAATATCGAGGCACCTTGCAACTTCGGGGGTCGCAAGGCCCATGCCCAAGTGACGGCTGTGCATAATTATTAATTTTAAATGATATATATATATTATATTTTATATGTAATTCATTTTGATATATTTCTATATATATTATTCGCTACGGATATTTTTAATGTATATTTTTCCAAAAAAATATTGTTGTTTTTACAAATAATGAAGATTTAAAAATGTAATATTCGCCCATAAATAGTATTTCAATGAGTTGGCTGTTGGAAACCCTGTTCCACTGCAGAGGCGTAGCTGGAGTGTTTGGCGCCCGGGAACAAGATTCATTTTAAAGAGCCTCCCTTTCTTTTTTCAACTTTCAAATCCATTATTTTAATCAATAAAATAATTTCAAAGCCCATTTGGCGCCCCTAACCAGTCTGGCGCCCAGGCACATATGTTCCCCTCTGCTCCCCTAGCTACGCCTGAAATGACGTTCCTGGCAGTATCATTAAATGTGAAACAAATATCATTCCCCCCACCTCTTCCCAATATTTTAAGTTTTATTTTTTTTAAAAATACATTTTTATTTATTTATTTTCTTTTTTAATTCAGTTTTTTTTTTTAAAATTATTTCCTATATCTGTGGATGATAAATTTTTGATCTGTTAGCATTCTGGGCTCCCACACTTTGGGAAATTTCCCAAGATCTTGGGAATTCACAACCCACTTTGGGATCTGGTGAATAATTTTGAAAATCAGGCAAAACCTCGGGAAATCTTAACTGGGGATCAGATTTTATTATATTTTTCGAAAAACGCAAACAATGTCCGAGATAAAAAAAAAAAATAAAGTGAAAATAAAGCAAACTAATTTTTAAATTAACAAGGAAAAAAATATTTTTTTTTAATTTTCTTTTCTGGTTTTAATTTTTTAAACCATTTCAAAATAAAAAAGAACTCTTCCGAAATTAAAGTTAATATTGTAAATTAATAACAAGTTAATTATTAAAGAAAAATTTAATTTTCTCTTTTTTTTTTTAAGTTGAAGATTTGCAAATTACATCCAGGTGTTAAATGTTTATTAAACAGGGGGGGGGGGGTAGGCTTGGAAAATTTTTCATGCGTATAAGACATTAGCAACCAAAAAAATCATGCGTATAAGACATTAGCAACCATAAAAACAACAGTACAAGCCAAAGAGTGAATGATTGTGCTCTATCAAGAACCCATAGTAAAATTGGATTATTTCAATTACTTATACAATGTTTTCAAAATATTATGCATCTTTAAAAAATATAGCCTAATTTTCATCTATTGGAAAACATATTTGTGGATTGACACACAGGTAACTAAGATATTAAAATTATACATTGTAGGAAATAAATGAAAAATTCCCCCTTTAAACAGTATTTCGTTTAAATAAAAACCATTGTAATGTAAATTTACAAGATAAATAAAAATACTTATTGCTTTCATAATACTATCAATCCATTTTAACTACAATTATTATTAACAAATTTTGCTTAATTGCTTTGCAAACCCCATTACTAATCAACAGACTTACAATAAGAAAAATAAAATTTTGATAAAGAACCTTTTGCCTTTGTAAAAGGAATTGTGTGTTGATTAGCCTTGTGAGCTTTGTTTCCAATTGACTTCTATTACACGTGGATTGTAGATGATATTTTTACCAGAGAATTAGGAGGTAACATTTAGTTGCCTAACCCCAGTGGGTGTTGATATTTTGGATAATAAAATAATATAAATAATATATTTTTTTAACAAATTGTTTATTTCTTTTATGTGATAAACATTTTATAAATGTATTTTTTCAATAAATTTCAGTCAATTATTGTACTATGTCTTTCATGGGCATTAATTCAATCTACTATTACATTAAGGACATAGGAAACCCCCCCTTCCCCCCCCCCCCTCACACATTTTTTAAAAAAACAACTCATATATACTTTTTATGATCTTGGGAAATATTGGGAAATTTTTTGACCAAATCTTGGGAAATTTTAGAAAAGTGAGTGGCAGCCCTGTATAGATGCAGCCGCTGGGAAATCCCTAAGAATGGAAACCCCCTTTTGCGGATATTTCCTCATTAATTCCGTGGCATATTCTTAGCAGGGCTACCACACCTTGGGAAATTTCCCAAGGTCTTGGGAATTCACGACCCCCCTTGGGAGCTGGGGAATAATTTTGAAAATCATGCAAAACCTTGGGAAATCTTAACTGGGGGGGAAATTTTGTTATATTTTTCGAAAAAAAACGCAACAATATCTGATAAAAAATAAATTAAAAATAAAGCAAAATAATTTTTAAAGTAACAAGGCAAAAAATTAATTGTTTTCATTTTCTTTTCTGGTTTTAATTTTTAAATCCACTCATAAAATAAATAAAAACTCTTCTGATTTTAAAGTTAATATTGTGAATTATTAAAAAGTTAATAATTTAAAAAAAAAATTCAATTTTCTCTTTAAAAAAAAAAATTGAAGATTTACAAATTACATCCAGGTTTTGAATGTTTATTAAATGGGGGGGGGGGTAGGCTCGGAAACTTTATCATTATGCTCTTAGACATTAGCAACCATACGAAAAACAGTACAAGCCAAAGAGTGAACGATAGTGTTCAATCAAGAATCCATGCCATAGTAGAATTTTATTATTTCAATTACTTCTACAATGTGTTCAAAATATAATGCATCTGTAAAAAATCCAGCCTAATTTTCATCAATTAGAAAAAATATTTGTGGATTGAAACACGGGTAACTAAGATATTAATAGTATAGGCAGTATAGGCCTACGTTGTAGGATTATAAATGAACAATTCCTTTAAAAGTATTTTTTTTTTTGTGAAAAAATCGTTATAATGTAAATTTTACAAGAAAAAATAAAACACTTATTGTTTTCATCGTAATATCAATCCATTTTAACTACAATTATTATTAATAAATTTTGCTTAATTGCTTTGCAAACCCCACTTGTAATCAACAGATTTACAATAATAAAAAATCATTTTTTGATGAAGAAACTTTTGCCTTTGTAAAAGGAATTCTGTGTTGATTAGCCTTGTATGCTTTTTTTTTCCAAGTGACTTCTATTACACATGTATTGTAGATTATATTTTTATCAGAGAATTCGGAGGTAATATTTAGTAGCCTAACTCCAGTGGGTATTGATATTTTGGATTATAAATTATTTTTTTTAAAACAAATTTTTTTTTTAATGTGATAAACATGTTTTAAATGTCTTTTTCAATAAATTTCAGTCCATTAATATACCATGTTTTTCAGGGGCATTGATTCAATCTATTATTACATTAATTACATAGAAAACCCCCCTTTAAAAAAAAAAACTCTTATATATTTGTATGATCTTGGGAAATCTTGGGAAATTTGTTCACAAATCTTGGGAAATTTGAAAAAAGTGAGTGGCAGCCCTGATTCTTAGATTATGGATCCTTCTCAGCTGAATTTGAATGAACAACACTCTGGTCTCTACTAGTAGTTTAGTAGTACTAGTATCATTTAACATTGTTATTTACTATTTTGTTGGTTTAGTAAGTAAGTAGTGATGACATATTATTATTATCATCAGGAAATGAGTTGAAGCTTAGCCTCTGTGTAGACTAGTCTAAAGACTAACGTGACTAAAGACTAAATGAAAATGAATTTATGATATATTATTTGTACCCGGATACTAGAAGTGTGAGTTTGGGATTAAAAAACGATTTAAAATTTTATTGTTGGGCTTGTAAGACAAAATGAGATATCAAATGAAAGATAATTGAATGGACTATATATTTGTAAACTTAATTCTCCAGTTTAAATAAAATAAACTACCACAAATGACATCCGAATAACACCGAGTTAAAATGGACACGTAGCGCCGCCATTCGCACCCGGGTACCATTAGTCTCTGGCTATTCGGATGTCATTTGTGGTAGTTTATTTTAGTTAAAATGAAGAAGTAAGTTTACAAACATATAGTCCTTTCAATTATCTTTGATTTGATACCTCATTTGGTCTTACAAACACAAAAATAAAATTTTAAATAGTTTTTTTAAACCCAACCTCTCACTTATTCACTTCTTGTACCCGCGTACGAATAGCCACTTCGATTATGTATTATAATATATTAATAATTTTAAATAATAATAATATTATATTATATATATATTAAAACTAAAACTTAATTACAGTACAGCCATATGTAGTGTATTTGTATAGTATAACTTACTCAAATATATTTTATATCATTTGTTAACTTAATATAAAAAATATATAATTATAATATATTAAATTATACTCATTTATTTTCCAGAATTCTAGGAAAGATTTCATATTTCTGAAACAATGATGTGGTATCATAGGCAGCAAATTGAAATTAAAATATTTAGGTTTAACTAAAGCATCAATCCTCAAGAAAAATAGCAACAATGAATATAAAACTAATTTTTAAAGAAATAGCAAAAAGAAATATAATTAGTTACTTATCCCTAATTTCTAGAATGATTTGGAGGTTAATCAAATTAAATTTAAACGAAAAGATTTTAACAAATAAAAATAATTATTATAATATTAAAATTGAAGTTGAAGAAGTTCAATCTCTTATATCTAAAATAATCATAAATGAAAATAATTTTACAGCATTCAATGACAAAGTCAAAGCTGAATTAACTAAACAGTTATCAAATTATTTTAGGCAAATTTGTTTAGACGAAGCTGTAGTTCACCGTCACCCTAAACTGCTTTTTTCTTTGGAAAAAGAAAAAATCTGTATTACACCTGAACAAATTAGCTTTTTCTTTGGATATGGAAAACCTTCGGAATTTAAAGTTTGTGAAGATAGTAGATTAGTTTTAGAAATAGTGCATGCTAAAGGGACATACTTTGATAAAAATGAATATGAAAGTAATAAGAACAAAAATGATGAATCAACTTTGCTTTCTGATCTGTTAAGAAAAAGACACTTCCAAATCAAGCAACACAATTTATTGGTCTACATGCAGCCAAGTGTTGAACAATGGCACCCTGTCAGTATTGATGACATCCCATGGGCTTGGTTAAAGGAAGAAAAATGGAGGCTACATACATTTGCAAAGTATCCTCAAGTTTCTGCAAAATCTGCACTCTTGTTGGCTGCAGATGGGTTTGCTTACATTGGTGTAGGAAGAGGTTTAGACGACAATGTAATATGCTATTTCTGCTGTGCTACAAAAAGCAATTGGCGCCCTACAGATGTGATCTCCAATGTTCATAAACAGCTTTCACCACAATGTCCTATGGCCACTGGAATAAACTGTGACAATGTTCCTATGACGTGTCCTAATGGCGGATCTGCTCTTTTTAATAAGATTTATGGTCAGCAAAGGTCTTCAAGCGCTGCTGCCGGCAGCCCAAAACAAAAAAATGATAATGAAATTGAAACAGACAGCATCAACCATGTCAACCACGACACTAACAGAAGAGACATGGCATCGGCCCCATCAAGTAATTTAACCTCAGGTAGGATCTTTGCCAACAACAGTATCAGCAGACCACCATTACAGCAACAAGCACATGCAGAGCATCATGATGCAGATGTCACAACTTCACACCAACCTTCGGAAAATGATGCACCGTCAAGTACAGTAACATCCAGTAATTTAACTGCCTGGCAGTCATTTGAGTCAAACAATGACATCAGATTCCAGCAACCTGTTAGGCAGTCAGCAAATGGTAATAACAGACCAGTCCCTGCCCCCTCTGCTGGTGCAGCGAGCTCATCTTCAAGCACGCCGGATCGGACAAACTCTACTAATGCAAGAACTGGATCACGCCCTTCAAACCCTAATCCTTCAATTTCACAAACTGTAAACGGAACGAACAACCCACAATCACAGACCACTGGTGCTCCATCTAGTAGCGCAGGGAGTCAAGTATCAGGTTCTTGTACCAAACCAGAAGGCCCCACCTATGCTCAACTTGGTATTATTACAGAAAGGCCAAAGAGATATGAATATGCTGTGATAACCAAGAGACTTGAGACATTTGAGCACTGGCCTAGAGATCATCACTTGAAAAAAGAAGATCTGTCAGAAGCTGGATTTTACTATGCAGGTTTGTAAATTATTTTTATATAGACATTTTGTTTATTTATTTAAAAACTTCATGTTGATGGTGTTAACTTCCAAGGCAATGTTAATTTCTAGTTTGGAAATATATGTCTTTTTACTACTGATTATCCCACTTGTTAAACCACATTTATTCAGATGAACTTGTAAAATCCAGTATCCCCGGTACCAATTTAATTGTGATATTGCTTCACGAGCGTTCAATATTTCCACTTAGACTTTTAGTTGCTCACCCCTGCACTGGATGTTGTGGGAGAGGCCAGGGTATCAGGAGAGTCTTACGTTACAATTATGTTATATGGCACAGACCAGCAGATGGAGCTGGTTGCCAATGTACTAGCCATGGTTTTAATAGCGTAAGCTCAAGCCTCAACCAGAATATGTATGTTAGTTGCTCACCCCAGGCAATAACACTTGAAAATTCATACATGTGATGCATCTGTATATGGCTTAATCATAAACATATTTGTAAAATCATACAGCATGCGCCAAAACTAACAGTACCAAAACTCCTGCATCGTAATCACTTACTTGCCTTTGTCAATGGTGCATAGCTACAGCTGCCATGTGACCATCGTGATTATATGTTTGGCAGTTGTTGGAGATGGATCTCTTCCACGGAGTAAAAATAATAGAGCAAAATTTTCGCTCATACTTTAGTGAACATAAATAGTGATTGCGTTTGATAAAATTTATAACAATTACAATAGAGATTATAATATTTTTTTAAACGGCAACAAGTAACACGGCTCTGGATAGGTAAAATATCAAATGTAGGACTAATAAGTTAATGTGACTTACTTTATATCCACATACACCGTAGCCATAAATCTCCACAATAAACAATCGATGAACATAGTTAAGATGATGTTCAGTTTGAAAGATGTTCCTCATAGAATTTGAAAGGGTGAACACAGCAGCTTCTGGAGAATGGGGTGTGATCCTCTTTTTTAAAAATATTTACTGTTGGCTAGACTTCCTCTTCCGTTGATACAATACACTTTCATAATGGTAAAATTTATAACTGTAGACACCACTGTGTGACTTGGTGCGGTCTTGTTAAATCTCAATTTGAATTGTTCTGCCACCTTTTTTTCCATCGCAATTACTTAAATTCCTTACGTTGGAGCAAAAATTGTACTCATCCCTGGAAATATTTTTATCTGTAAACAACAGCCCAGCAAAATTTCATTGACACCACAGGGAAAACGGGGGAGCTGCAGCTTTGCACCATTGACAAACTCATGTATGTGTGCAATATACTGTTACTTTTGGCGCATGCTGTATAATGCATGACAAGAACAAGAATGATAAATAAACTATTTGAGTTTATTTCTCTGTTTATGAAATTTTCTATATATATTATGTATTGTAAGCCAGATGGCCCATTGCGCCTGACTCCTTCACAACATATTCTCCTGTTAATGCTATAAAAAGGATCTTTAAATGACTATTTGTATTCATCTGATTAAAAAAAAAATCAAAATAGGTTATGGAGACTGTGCACGTTGCTTTTACTGTGGTGGAGGATTGCGCAATTGGGAAGCCGAAGATGACGTATGGGTGGAACATGCCAGATGGTTTCCTAAATGTGCCTTCATCCGCCAACAGATGGGTCAAGTGTTTGTTGATACTGTGCAGGAATTAAATAAGGATTATGATCAGGTGAGGACACACATCAAATTTATCAGCTGAAATGTTATTGTACCAGTGGTTTGGTTTTTTTAAGGTGTGTTTGAAATATTAAATATTTTATTACCCTAGTATTGTAACTTGAATCAAATTGTTTGCTATTTTCTTTAATTTGCTTTTATCAAGATTCCTTTTGCAATGGTGTCCAATAAAATAGGAAAGCCAGCATCTGTATTTCATTTAGGTAAGTTTTATTTTGTTAAATAGCTCTAGTATGGTTTATATAAAAAAAAAAAACCTTGTATTAACCATTTTTTTAAAATCCTTGTATCAGCTTCAGCCCAAATCTCTAACTCAGTAACTCTAACTTAGTCAATCTAAGCTTGTATTAATGAGTGTGTAGCACAGTGTTATGTTACTCAACATCAATAACCTAGTCAGCAATAAATAATATAGATGTGCCAATAGTAATGCAAAAAAATTATAAGTTATTAATCGCTAATAAATTCTGTTTTTTAAACAACTTAAAATGAAATCTCATGTACTCTAACAGACTCTAAAGACACTCCTTTGAAACGAGATGCAGCTGTGAGGACTGTCGTGGAAATGGGATTTGACTTGAAAGATGTCATCAGTGCAGCTGAGGCAATAAAGGATGAAGGTGACTTTATGTTCAAAGACATATTTTCTCAATCAAACTGGTGGTGATTAAAAAAAATAGAAACCCAAAATATTTGTAAAAATTAAAATTTAAGTAACATTCAAAATGAATCAATTAAAAAAAATATTTAAAATCTTAATAAATAATGGAATGTATATGATAAACATATTGATGGCTGATTTAATTTTAATAATAGGAGCCAAAATGATCAATAAATTGATTGTGGCCCTTAAGATATAGAAGAAGAAGAATTTTTATTTCAATCATATGATCTTGATTACAAAAAAAAAAATCGGTGAAAATAAAAATAGGAAATACCCAAGCAGTAGAAAAGAAAAGTTATTCTAGTGTTACATATGTCTACATTCAAGGATATTTTAATTTTATTCTATATTTTTCATTACAGAAAACCCCTTTAAATGCTAAGATACAATATTTCTATATTACATATATGCCATGCCAAATAACAAAAGTATAATTACTCATTACAGCTACCATACTGTCTGCAGACAGGATTTATGAAAAATTACTGCAAGAAAATAGAAGCAGGAACGCAAATGTACAGCATTCATCACAGGATATTAGCTCCACAGATGACGTAGCAAAAAATTTAGGTAATTATGCTGAATAAACTGTTAGGTAATCAAAATAAATCAAATGGGATTTTTAATTTGATCCCTGTGCTAGTACAGGTTCTATTTCTATATCATTCAGGCCTTAAGTTTATCAGCGACAAGGATACAAACCATTCTCTGACAAAGCAATGTGATGTGATCAGTGAATTATGACCTCCCTTTTTAGGCAGAAACTATGTTTGAAATGTATGCCAAATTATTTTTAACTGTTGAAAAATTATTTGTCTTTTTTAAGTATTATCTTAAAATATTTAAAAAAAGATAGTTCATTTTTAAAAATCAACTTTTTAAACATCTTTTTAACAACAAAAATTTTTTTTTAGAAACAATGAGAACTTTAAAAGAGCAAAACAACCAGCTTCGCCAGCAAACTGTTTGTAAGATCTGTATGGACAAAGAAGTAGCTGTTGTCTTTCTGCCCTGCGGTCATCTAGTCTCATGTAGTGATTGTGCAGCTGCAATGAAGGACTGTCCAGTTTGTAGAAATTCTGTGAAGGGAGTTGTTAGAGCCTTCATGGGTTAATAAGCTGCCGGCAGAATATAACTATCAACTTTTAGCTGATAGAATGTAACTATCAACATTTACCTCATAATCAAAATTAAATTATTTGTATTTTCATTTAACATGGGCATTATAAAATAAGGCATTAAATTTTTTAATAGTGTTTTTATGAATTTGCTACTATTGTTTTTGTTTGCTATTGTCATGATTAGATTATAAATTTGATATAGGCATACACACCAAGAAATAAACAAGCACAATGAATTTAGCATGTGTAAAAAAAAAAGAAGAAGCTTAATCCACATGATCTAGCCATTTTCTAAAATTGTGGGGTGGTTTTTAAAAAAATGTAATTTTAAACATTTAATTTGAATCAGTTCACCATAAATTATATAATTATATTGTTACCAAATACCTTTTTTCCCCAAAATACCAGACATCTATATAATATATTACGAAATCCATAAAATATATTATATAAGCAAAAATTATATCTGCATATTGACCACCCACCCCCCACTCTGCCCAAGCACCACCACATTTTTTTTCCCAACCCCCCTTCCCCATGCGTAGCCAAGGTATCAAATGAGCCCCCCCCCCCCCACCCCAGTTTATTTATAAACATGACTGAAAAGTAAATAAGAAGTCACCCTAAACCAAGGATTCTTTACAATCCTGTGATGCAAGGAACCCTTATTCAAAATCTCAGATATCAATAACCCTCCCCCACCCCTCGGTGCCTATGTAATATATGGATGGCCCCCACACCTGGCAACCCGAATTCTGTCCCAGCTGTTCATTATTTGGATTTATAACTTAATTTATAAGTAGGCCTACATCAGGATCACAAACAACATTGGTTGCTATCAGTCGTAACCAGTATAATCCAGAAGAATTTTAACAGTGCCGGATTAACCTAAAGGCAAGGTTAGGTACCCAGTACCCCACCCCCTGAAAGAAGTGGATATTATTATTATTATTATTATAAAACCCATCGATATTTTAATCTAATTATGAAAGGTATGTGAACCAAGTTTTGTCAAGAACTCATGATCTGTTTATTTAAGAATAATCTTTTACTTATATTTCTATGCCAATTAATCAGCAACTAATTTTGAGCCCCGGCCCACGACAGAAAAACTTTTTTAAAGCTTCAACCCCCACCAGTATTTTATTCTGAATAAAAAAGGGTGTGTGGGCCAATTTTTATCAAGATCCATCCATCCAAGTATGAGCCTCAAGATCCATCTATCCACGGAAGAGCCTCAAGATCAATATATCCACGTATGAGCCTCAAGATCCATCTATCGTCTGGGAACCAGTGAGATAGAGGCTTGTACTTGTACCATTAATCTGGAGAACTTAATAAATTTCTCTCAAACTGAAAGTAAAAAAAAAATTGGAACTTGCTCTTATGTTTTATGTAAATGCTCAGTATAACCTGTGCTGTGGTCATACTTCCATTTTGCAGTCGCCTACATTTTGAAATGTCTTATTTATTATGAAGCATTTCAGATTTTTTTGGTGGAGGGGTGCAATGCCAGTGGCCAGATGCATAGCTAAGGGGAGCAGAGGGGACATATTTCTCCTGGTGCCGTACTAGCGGGGAGCCAAAATGGGCTTTAGCGGTATTTAATTTCAATGGATACAAAGAATTCCCTGACGCTTAACAAGCAGCGTAGAAAGAGGGCAAATGGGGTGGTCCACCCAGGTGTCACTTTCTAATTATATAGAGGGGCAGCATTTTAAAACAACTGTAGAGTTTGTATGTTGAAAAGGGGGTGCGAAAGTAATATATGTGGGGTCCCCCCCCTCCCCCCGAACATTTTTGATTACTTTAAAATCAACATCCTTTGTTAATTTACTGTGTTGATATATTTTTAAAATTTACTTGGCAAATAAAGTATCCTTCCAAAAGCTAAGTGACCCATATTATAAGTTATAAGTGACAACAGCTGAGCTCACCACTACCGTCTTGGCAGTCATCGTCTCCATCACACTGCCAATTGGCATCGTTAAATTTGCAGCTGTTTTCACATTTGAATTGTGAGTTGAAACACAGCCCAGCTGCAGAGAAAACAAATAATTGTTATTATTTTCATTATTATTAGTGTTATTTTAATAGTGTTGAAATATGGCTACAACATCCCCCGAAAAGGGGGAGTAGCTAATTTTTATTTATTATTCTTCGGTTGGCTCTTCATCTTTTTTACACCTAGTTAATTAACTCATACGTGAAACTTTCAGTTTATGATAATAACAAATGCTCTAATTTTGGCCCCACTACAAATGTAGGCCTACATGCTCAATTTTTAATTGTTTATGGGATTTTTGTTTATTTAGTGGGCGGGGGTGGTGGTTAGGAGGGCATTCGTTGAAGTATGTAACGCTGACCCCCCCCCTCACAATCTATCACAAATCTTGGAAACTCCCCCCCCC